AAAAATAAATTATTACAAAATTACTTAAATTTTTTGCTAATTAATTGATTTTAATAATAAGAGTTGGATATATCTAAAGAACATTATAGATGTGTTTATCATTAACTTCTTTTTACCATGCACACTAAATGACATTTTAAGGAGTAGTTATGTCCTTTCAACCCAAAGGAAAGTTGGATTTGAATTACCTATTAGTTAACATGATTTTTGCAAAGGAAATCATGAGATGGTCTCTAGTGGATAAGTCTAGCCTATATAAACTTTTACCTCAAATAGCCATGTGTAAGTTTGGCCTTGTCTAATTTTTTTCTCTAGGAAGAGTAACTATATGGGTAATAATACAAACCTTGGAGTAAAGTAATAGCAACCCTCTCTTACTTTTGCCACATTTCAAATCCACCTTCAACACGTTGAACTTGATTAACTTTTTTTTTCTTTAATCTAAAGTACAATAAAGTACAATATGAAAATTAAAAAATATATATAATTCAAAATATATTGAATTAAAAGATACTAATAATTAAATTAAAAAGAACTCCTTAAGAGAAAATTTTTTATTTAATAATTGATATTTTACAATTAAGTACAATATAAATGGCAAAACACCACATCCATATAAAAACTATATAAATGTACAATAGAGTACATATTTACATTGAACATAAATGCATTAATTTCACGGTAAGAAATTGAACTTAATAAGTCTATAACTCAATCTCTCTCTCTGGCCCAACCACATTAAGATTGAAATTAAAACCTCCTACTATGTTAATTGGATACCAAAATAATCAATATATCAATACTTTATGCTTCTCCTAAACTTTATTGTCCCTCAGCTCTTGTGTTACTTTATTACACCAATCCGACCAACAGAAATTATTAAATTGTGCAATGATAACAGGAACTGAATATATGCTGTCTAATGCTCATCCAATTGTCAAGTTCCAAAGAGAAAATTATTAGTATTCCATTTATAAAACAATCCTTCCGAACCCCAACAGGAGAAAACATTACCATACTTGCATGTGCATCACATGGGCTTTTATCAAGCTCCTATCTTAATCCCATTCATTGGTTGGTACCACTTTATTACAGAGTCAATATCATGTGCATCTTCTCAATTGGATTGCTGCTTATATTTATTTGATTTGCAGAGATGTATTTTGGTTCAGGTTATCCATTATAAATGCAACTACATTTTTTAATTATTTTGGGTTT